ATGTTCAGCTTTCATGTTCCCCCTTTCCGCCCTGTGGCAGGGTCTGCTGCCTTCATCCTGTACTACACATAATGCACTGCCAGCACTTTGCCAGCTACTAATAATAGTATTTTTCCAATCCTGCACACTACAGTGAAACACAGTCTCACTGACCTGGGCCTCATAGCATCGTGTTGTTAATGGAAAGAAATGATCTGACCTTCTGTCTGGAAAGAAAAAGTACAGGCAAGGAGGGGAAGGAGAAACTAATGGGTAGTGTAGTGTAAAGAGGTGTTCTGCAAAGACTGAACTCTACAGAAGCACCTTTAAGGATAAAACTGTAAATCTTAAGTCTTTCAGACAACATGGCTACCTTTGCTTTTCGTTGTAATGTAAATCATGTCAGCTTTGCACTCTTAAATATTGGTGTTTGGCGCAGTCACCTAGTGTTTCCAAATTGCCAGATATTGTATTCTTGGTGTTTTGTATTGTAGTTTGAAGTCTTGGTGTTAAGGATCCCTTTAGGCAACTTGATGGGTTAAAAAAAACTTTTTGGGTGGCGGGGGGGGGGGGGGGGGGGGGGGGATAAAGATAAAGACAATTGACCAGTCAAAACAAGTGCAATAAAACAATCCCTGGAAAGAGGAGAACCTCCAAACTGTAGTTTGTACTAATTAACTTTGTCAATTGTGCATCTAGATAAATACAAATACATGAAAAAGAGCATTCATTGACGTGTGTAGCCTGCCATTCCACAGGCTCCTATTGACACTTCATTTGGAGCTTGATTTTTTTTTTTTTTACTGTGCCTTGGGCCAAAAGAGAAGACACTTTGGCTTTCAGACCAGTGACAGATAACTGTAAAATAAATATTACTTCTGGCTTTCTTTCAGAAAAGTGTAGTAATAGTCGTAGTACTTGGGAAATAGAGCTCTTAAAAGCACAGTAGAGTCTTTATTTTCATTTCTAACATGTTGAAGTGCCAAGAATGGCAGGATTCAAGACTAAAATATGAGATAGTGCTGCACTGTGCCACAGGGGCAACCTGCCCGTGTCTTAGGGTTGTTTTAGTCAGCTAGACTGGGGGTCAAGCAGCAAGCATTAAAGGGGTTTCAGCATTGGAAATCTGATGCTGCCATAGGTTTCACACCAGGTTCCTGGTCTTGCCCAGGCTTTCCACAAGGTCTCATTTTTCGTAGTTGTGGCACCTGTGCTATGGGCTGGCATCCATCATATCGTCCTTTCCCCAACTTCAACAGCTTCATCAATGCATAGGGCTTAAAAAAATCTGGTTGCAAAAAGACAAACAGATAACTTTATAATGGGTGCTGCCCAGCATTCGTTTTGTACACTTTCCTGCATAACTTTTCACCATCAAACTCAGCAGTTGCAACTGGAGTGTTTGCAGATGACTGTTTCTCAAACTGAAGATGCCAGCCAAATCTGTTTTCTTCTTAATTTATATTCCAAATGCTCTTGCATGAAGGAGTTTATTATTAATACAGACGTTATTGCTGGGTTTGCCATGTAAAGGAGGCTTTGTATGAAAGGGCACACATAAGAGATAACGTAGTTAAAACAGCTTCAGCTTTATTGGTTGCAGCTGGTCAAGCCTTGGCACAGCATAGGGCATGGATCTAAACATCAACTGACTTGCCTGCCCTCCAGTGACATCCACCCACAATCTGCTGGGGAAAAGACTAACAGGATGACAGCAAATCCCCACTGTGTGACGCCCATTTCTTCCAGGGGGTGAGGAAGTATAGTAGGTCCATGAGCTGGCCCTACCCCAAGTACTTTGCCCCCCCCCCCCCCCGGTGATCTCCCCAAAGGAATATCATTTCCCTCCCAGTGAATCTAGCCCAATGTTCAAGTTGCAAATCTAAAAGTTGTGGTAAGAATGAAGCATCATATCATACAAATTAACAACACGTAGAATCCATACTTCCAACCTGCCTCTAGACTGACTAGCCTTTCCTACCATTTTCAGAATGCATGAGTTCTGTTATAAGTACTAATGACTGGAATATGTTTACTTAAATGGATTTGAGTGGGTGTTGACTGCTGCTGGCTTCTAGATACACCCCACACTTTGGGGTTGGGATATCATTTCTAGTTTGCAGTTGCAGTATAGCCAGCATAAAAAGTGTTGAAGTTTGCTCCAGAGCAAACTTAAATGTCATCCATCGGTGGGGTAAGGTAATGTGGCTTTAAATTGTTTGTTGCGTCTCTCTCTCCTATGCTTTTATATCTTCACTACTGATATCTTTCACCAAGGGAATAGGAACTGAGAGAGCGATGTCTCCTTCTGCCCCTCTGTTTAAACAGCAGTAATGAATGATTAAATACTTTCAGCTGTGAATACTTTTTCTAATAATCAATCACTTTGTTTTGCAAACACTGTAATAAGCACTTTTTGAAATCTATTAATGAAACATATTAAAACAGTATAAAATATAAATAAAGTCTTAATTCTCGCTTCCATCAAATAATATTTCTCTCATTTAAGAGTGATACCCTCCTGTTAAGTTAGATAAGAAAACTACTCGTTTTCAAGAGAAGCTGAAAGGGGTGGGGGATAATGAATTTGGCATTCTTTTTTGCTCATTTATCATTCTAAGGAGAGATATTAACTGTGATTTTGGAATAGTTTGCTGATCTTTTCATAACCAGCACTGCATCCGTATTTCGATGTATTGTAGAAGGCTTTCATGGCCGGAATCATTGGGTTGTTGTAGGTTTTTTCGGGCTATATGGCCATGTTCTCGAGGCATTCTCTCCTGACGTTTCGCCTGCATCTATGGCAAGCATCCTCAGAGGTAGTAAGGCCTGTTGGAACTAGGAAAAAGGGTTTATATATCTATGGAATGACCAGGGTGGGACAAAGGACTCTTGTCTGCTGGAGCTAGGTGTGAATGTTTCAACTGAGCACCTTGATTAGCATTTGATGGCCTGGCAGTGCCTGGGGCAATCTTTTGTTGAGAGGTGATTAGATGTCCTTGATTGTTTCCTCTCTGTTGTTTTACTGTTGTAATTTTAGAGTTTTTTAATACTGGTAGCCAGATTTTGTTCATTTTCATGATTTCCTCCTTTCTGTTGAAATTGTCCACATGCTTGTGGATTTCAGTGGTCTCTCTGTGTAGTCTGACATGGTAGTGGTTAGAGTGGTTCAGCATTTCTGTTTTCTCAGATAATATGCTGTGTCCAGGTTGCTTCATCAGGTGCTCTGCTATGGCTGACTTCTCTGGTTGGAGAAGTCTGCAGTGCCTTTCATGTTTCTTCATTCGTGTTTGAGCAATGCTGTGTTTGGTGGTCCCTATGTAGACTTGTCCACAGCTGCATGGTATACCATTGTCTCACCACCAGCTACTTTCAGTGGGACAATGAATTCTACAAACAGAAAGATGGAGTAGCTATGGGGAGCCCTCTCAGCCCGGTCATAGCTAATTTCTACATGGAGCCCTTTGAAAAACAAGCCCTGGAAACACCAACAAAAATGCCCACTATATGGTTCAGATATGTGGATGACACTTTCACCATTTGGAGCCATGGAGAAAAAGAACTAAACAGGTTCCTGGACCATCTTAACAGCATCCACCCAAACATCCAATTCACCATGGAAAAAGAAAATGAAGGAAGACTGCCTTTTCTAGATGTCCTAGTCATCCATAAACCAGATCAACAATTGGGTCACACTGTTTACAGAAAACCCACACACAGAGATAGATATCTACATAAAAACTCCAACCGTCGCCCAAGTCAAAAAAGAAGAACCATTAAAGCCTTGGCAGACCGTGCAAAAAGAATCTGCGAACCCCTCCTCCTCCAAGATGAACTGAACCACCTCAACTGGGCTCTACAGGCCAATGGATACTCCACCTCAGACATCAGAAGAGCTGCAAGACCGAGAACAAGCCACGACAGTAAAGACGAAGATCCACCCAGAGGAAAAGTGTTCTTGCCATATATCAAGGGAACCACTGACCTGACCGCATAGGGAAGCTGATGAGGAAACACAAAATACAAACTATCTACAGACCCACCAAGAAAATCCAACAAATGCTACATTCAGCAAAGGACAAGAGTGATCCTCTCACTTCTGCAGAAGTCTACCGTATTCCATGCAGATGTGGACAAGTCTACATAGGGACCACCAAACGCAGCTGCACCTAAACACGAATCAAGGAACATGAAAGGCACTGCAGACTTCTTCAAGCAGAGAAGTCAGCCATACCTGAGCACCTGATGAACCAACCTGGACACAGCATATTATTTGAGAACACAGAAATGCTGGACCACTCTAACAACCACCATGTCAGACTGCACAGAGAGGCCATTGAAATCCACAAGCATGTGGACCATTTCAACAAAAAGGAAGAAACCATGAAAATGAACAAAATCTGGCTACCAGTATTAAAAAAAACTCTAAAATTACAACAGCAAAAAAAAAAAAAAAAGAGGGGAAACAATCAGGCACATCTAATCACCTCTCAACAAAAGATTGCCCCAGATACTGCCAAGCCATCAAATGCTAATCAAGGTGCTCAGTTGAAACATTCACACCTAGCTCCAGCAGACAAGAGTCCTTTGTCCCACCCTGGTCATTCCACAGATATATAAACCAATTTTCCTAGTTCCAACAGTTCTCACTACCTCTGAGGATGCTTGCCATAGATACAGGCGAAACGTCAGGAGAGAATGCCTCTAGAACATGGCCATATAGCCCGAAAAAAACCTACAACAATCTGTATTTCCTTTTTTTCATAAATGGTAGGATAATCATGGATGGAAAAAGTATAAGACTTATATCACAGTTAGTCCTCGGAACCACCGATCCCCAAACATTTGTCCTCAGCTTTCCAAAACAAATTTATTTCAGATAAAGTTTAATAACTGTAAAAAAATAAAAACATTTAAGCCCCTGGCACCTGACAGTTGCCTGTCCTACTAAAGCTTGACATAGGTGTGTTTTTGTATTCTATTGTGTCAAATTTTAAAAATCACTTCTCTCTCTGTTTTAGCATGCACATCTCTGAAAGCCAACAAGAATTCTTCAGAATGCTGGATGAGAAAATTGAAAAGGTAAGAATTAATAAGAAAATATTTTATGAGTTGTAATGAATAGTATTTATACTATGATGGAGCCAGTGATATACTACCCCAAAATCTTAAACAGGATAAAAGGTGATGTATAAATCCTTTAGAACAGTGGTTCTCAATATTTGGTCCTACATGTGTTTTAGACTTCAGTTCCCACAATTCCTAACAGCTGGTAAGATGGCTGGGATTTCTGGGTGTTGAAGTCCAAAACACCTGGAGAAGAGCCAAAGGTTGAGAACCTGCTTTAGAAGAGTGTTTCTCAAACTCTACTCCTTTAGGTGTTTTGGACTTCAACTCCCAGAAATCCCAGCCATCTTACCAGCTCGTAGGAATTGTGGGAGCTTGAAGTTCAAAATACTTGGAGGAGCAGAGTTTGAGAAACACTGCTTTAGAAGAAATGCAATAGCTATGTAATGTGACTTATTGGGACATAGAAAAACAACTCAAGAGAAACGCCAAGTCTTCTGATAAAATAATTAAACAGGGTTTCAAGTTAGCTTAGATAAAATGTCACTCCCTTTTGTAGAAGTCAGCAAAATTATCTTGTTAACATGCCTTGACCTTCAAACTGTTTAGGATTCTTAGTTTTTAGAAGATCATAGTAAATAACCCACGGAGCGACGTTATCAGGGTGTTTCACTCTGCGCCATCTAGCTTAACAGTATCGCTCACTTATTGGGACATGTGAACCTTTTTGATTTACAGTGGACATGTCTTTCATTTAGAAAATCTTTTAATGTAAACAATACTTTGTTACTATTATTGTTAGATGTTTATTTTGGAATATTTGTGTATATATAATTAGAAATGAAAGTTTTTAAATACTGGTAGCCAGATTTTGTTCTTTTTCATGGTTTTCTCCTTTCTGTTGAAATTGTCCACATGCTTGTGGATTTCAATGGCTTCTCTGTGTAGTCTGACATGGTGGTTGTTGGAGTGATCCAGCATTTCTGTGTTCTCAAATAATATGCTGTGTCCAGGTTGGTTCATCAGGTGCTCTGCTATGGCTGACTTCTCTGGTTGAAGTAGTCTGCAGTGCCTTTCATGTTCCTTGATTCGTGTTTGGGCAGTGCTGCGTTTGGTGGTCCCTATGTAGTCTACGAGAAGCCTGTTTGAAATAACACCTCAGTCTGAGAGAAGCCTGTGTGAGAGGATGCCTCGGTGGGAGAATAGGTCTCAGGGTTAGTAGGCCTTGGTATGAAAACGCCTTGTGTGTGAAGTTCCTGTGTGAAGATTGAACTTTATTTGTGTCATGGAAACCTCGTTCTTGTAAATAGTGCAACCATATTATTTTGTTATAAAGAAAAACCTCTTAAGGAAGATGTAACATTGGTCTGTGTGGTTTTGTTCGTTTTATCACTGTGGGCTACTGGTGCTAGGTCACGCTGCTGCTAATAAGTTACTCTGCTGTGCATTTATGAGGAGGGCATTTTGTTGATAAGCCCACTCGCCCAACAGAAGTCACAGTATCTGTATATTTTTGCATGTTGTATAAAAGGTATCTACATAGATGATAAGTTATACCACATACACATGGCTATGATTTATTTGGGAACAAGCAGTTATGTTTGATACTAGGTTCACACCCCACTGAATGGAATAGAATAGAATAACTTTATTGTCATTGTACACTGTACAACAAAATTAAATGCCCTCCCCAGCACACACTACAAAAACAACACACCCATCCCTCCATGTTCCAACCACCATCACATAGCCCCCAATGCCACATCAATGTGAAATCACTGAATTCAATATAGTTACAGCTCAAGGATAAAAGCTACCACTGTATATGGTACCAGGTACATAGACCCAATTCTGGGCCAGAGTGAAGAGAGGGGAGACCAGGGGACAGTTTCATGTTGTCTCCTGCATATGGTATCAATTGGGGGCTCCCCACCCCCCCCCAGTACCAACTGTCGCTCTGGGCCAGAGTGAAGGCAGGTGGGGACAGAGGATAGTTCCATCTTGTCTCCTGTGCTATTCTAATAATATAATATCATGTAATATAATATAATATAATATAATATACTAGCTGTGCCCTGCCACGCGTTGCTATGGCCTATAGTAAGACTTTTTGAAGTAGAGGTAGATATCTGGACTATTATGAAAGAGAGATACCTACCTATTCCTTCCCCCCTTTTTCTTCCCCTTCCCTTTCCCCTTTCTCTCCTTTCTTCCTTCTCTATCTCTTTCTTTCATTCCTTATTTTGCTCTTTGGTTTCATCCTTCCTTCTCTCTTTCCTTCCTTACCTCCCCCTTTCTCTACTTCTTCCTTTGTCTCCTTTCTTCCCTCCCTGTTTACTTCCTTCTTTCACTTTTTATTTCCTTTTCTCCTTCCTTCCTTCTTTACCTCTTTCCTGCCTTTCCTTCCCCCCTTTTCCCCTTTCTACTTTATCTTCTTCCTTCGGTACCTGTTTCTTTCCTTCTCTCCTTCCGGCCTTCCTTCCTTCCCTCCCTCCCTCCTTCTCTCTTTCCTTCCTTCCCCCTTTCCCTCCTTCGTTCCTTCCCTTTTTCCCTCCCTCCTTTCTTGTCTCCTTCCTTCCTGTCTGCTCTCCCCCAATACCATAGTAGAGTCCCTTCTAACTCTATTCTATGAGTCTATTTAATATAGTAATATATAATAGTAACATTATATTATATAGTAATATATATAACAATAATATATATAATATAATATATATGTATTATATAGCAATATACATAATAATAATATATAAAGCATTGTAATTATATATTATATATAATCAACCAGTGATCCAACATCCATCCATCCGTGTGTGTGTGTGTGTGTCTACACAGCCATATAATCCAGTCCTAAGCAGATAATCTGGATTTAACATGGCAGTGTGGAAGGGGTGATTTTGGGTGCATCTACACTGTAGATTTAAGAAAGGAGGATGAAGCTGGCAAGGGGAGGAGCAAAAGGAAGGGAAGAAGGGAAGGGATGGAAGGAAAGAAAGGGAGGGAGGAATGTTGGAGAAAAGGAAAGGGAATTTGAATTCTCAGGCCATTAATTTAGTTTCTTAAGTTGGCTTCTGTCAGATATATCTGATACCACACATTCACTCCTATTTTCTGACCTTGCGTGACAGAAGAGATAGGATCCAATACCTTACCACAGGATTAGAGTCCTGGCCTTTGCATGGTAATATCACCCCACTGTTAATATATAATAGAAAATAAGTAACAGGCTATACAAATTAGAAGGGGGCAAGAGTTGCAGAGATAATCAAGGAGATAAATATTTAAGGAAAAATTAATAAGCATATAGATTTGTTTTAGACAAGACTCACCAAAGCATAACCAAAATCACATGGGCAGATTCTCTGTGGAGAATGGAGAATTTCTAATGGTATCAATTAGGCTTGGGGAAAGAGTCCCCAGAGTCAATTAGAGGGGATTGGGTCAGAAGGACAAGTAATTAGCTTGACCTTAGAAATAAAGGCATGGATATTATCCTCAGAAACTTTGAGTATGAGATGCAAGAAAACCACAGGAGTAAAACATTGAGGATTCTTGGAGAGTTGCTACAGGCGACAATTCTCTGAAGTGAATTAATTAGCCTCCGAAAGAATGCGGCTGAATTCAGGCTGCACAATCTGGAATTTGCTCTTTGATGTGTGGAGACCGAAGGGAGCCCTGCTGCATCGGGTAGCAGATTTTGGGTGCTACTGCGGAAGGTAGAGCAAGAGACAAATCTGACCAGATCCCACAGGAGAGTCATTTGTGCAAACTTCGTTGAAAGTAATTGGAACCCAGCTCCTATTCATCTTTAAAAATCTCCACATATATGATGAGCCATGTTAATCAGTGAGATTAAAGATTGTCTGTGGATTTTCCATCCCTGGCTCTAAAATATCTACAGTAAGACCATTAAAAATCAGTCTGGAAATCACTGCAGTTTTGAAATTAAGGTTAGAGCACTAGCAGGAGGATTCATGTGCAATGAATGTTTGGCACAACAAGCCAAATTTCACAATCCAATTATCACAGGGATAGAAAGTAAGGTGAAATCTTCTGAACAGGAGCACAGACAGCAAAACAAACACCACTATGCTATCCAAAGCTAGCCCTATCTATATATCTATCTATCTATTTATTATTTATTTCGGTCATTTCTACTCCGCCTTTCTCACCCCCTAGGGGGGACTCAAGGCGGCTTACATCCGGCACAATTCGATGCCCACAATTACAATAAAATGCAATAGCAATAACACAATAGATTAAAAACAGACAATTAATACAGTACAATATAACACAATACAATATCAACTAAAACCGCTCTATAGCCCGCGTTCATCGTGTTCTAAAATCCGTCAATCCGTTTAGCATTGCCATAGTCCTTTCCAACTCTAGTCATCATTACCTTGTTACCCTGCCAGACTACCCAAATGCCTGGTCCCATATCCATGTCTTCAGCTTTCTCCTGAAGGAGAGGAGGGATGTTGACAACCTAATTTCCCCGGGGAGTGAATTCCACAGGCGAGGGGCCACCACGGAGAAGGCCCTGTCTCTCGTCCCCACCAGCCACACTTGTGATAAAGGTGGGGCCGAGAGCAGGGCCTCCCCAGAAGATCTTAAACTCCATGGTGGGACATAGAAGGAGATACGTTCGGACAAGTACACTGGGCCGGTGCCGTAGAGGGTTTTAAAGGTCAAAACCAGCACTTTGAATTGTGCTCGGAACTGGATCGGCAGCCAGTGGAGCTGACGTAGCAGAGGAGTGGTGTGCTCCCTGTATGACGCTCCAGTGATTAATCTGGCTGCCGCCCATTGGACTAGTTGAAGTTTCCGAACAGTCTTCAAAGGCAACCCCACGTAGAGTGCGTTGCAGTAATCTATTCGGGATGTAACAAGGGCGTGGACCACTGTCTGTCTATCTATCATACTTCTGGCTGGAGTTATACTTTAAAATGTACCTGTTCCAACTTACAAATCAACATAAGAACAAACCTACATAACCTATCTTATTTGTAACT